TCACTGCAGGAACCCTGGTCCACTAATGATTGGGTTGAACCTCGCTCAGCAGCGAAAATATCGCGTTTTGTCCCAGTGAACCACACCCCTAAGCCTCAGGACGAGGGGAGACGTGTGTGTTAGGCATTTTCATTTTCCTCACAGTTCCTCCATCTCTCCTCGGAAAATCCTCATCCACTAACTCATATTAGTACCCTTGCCTTCATCGAGAATTTAGCCACGTGTGCCAATGCCACGTCAATTTCTGCAATTGCACAATTTCTGGTCATTTGAAGGCGAGGGTAGCTTCTTTGTGTGGTCGTACAAAAACTGTTAGAATTCAAAAAATCATAGTAATGGTGTAACAAGAAAACTGTTTATAGTGCGTGACTTTAAAGGAATCCTTGAGCCAAATTGGCATTATAGCAGACTACGCACCGCAACGCCCCCTCTTACTGGATAAGACCCATTTTGCGTATTACTTACTAAGCAGTCTTTCCTATCGCTTCGATATGAGGACGATTTCAAGTTAGCCATGCGGTGGTCGAGATAGTACATGGATGGTTTCTCGACTGTAGATCTATCCCCTTTTTAATGGTCATGATTTATTGTTTGAAGTCAAACATAACAAACAGAAGCCACGATTGAGTGGAACCATATCTCCGATAAGCATTTACAATCTGACCTTTGATGTAGGGCAAACGGTTGACTTCAGTTTCTTCCGCTTTTTGGTAGCTTGGATGTTTGCTCATGTTTTATTTGAATTCATTCGTTGGAATTATCATTCCTGGTGACATTATGAGCTGTCTAGTAAAAGTAACTTACTTTGTCTAAGGTGTTAATGTAAACCCAGACTCTCCTTTCACAAAGAAATTCGTTTTCACTGTGGACATGATTGACCTATGATATGAATGGACTCGAGATTGATAGCGCATCCCTTCCCCGTTGCGGAATTACCTCTGGTAAAGCGATTTGCGACCCTGTCGTGACATTCGGTAGTTACGGTATCGTATCGATGAGATACTGCACCAGATGCACCTGCGTAGCCAACCGACATCCCATTCGCGCTTTTGGCGACAGAGCGCAGCGACGCACTTTGAAAGGTTTTATATTTCATACGTTATTTCCAAATAGCACAATATCAAAGAGAGCCTTTTTTGAACTCCTTGAAAGTTTCCTATTTAATGCCATATATATTTTTATTATTCTGAAAAAAAAGCGGCTACCGTGGTATCGGTGTGATAGTGAAGCTGATAGGCGTGGGACGACAATCAGGCGGCTTTTCGATGGTTTGGTCTTGCGGTGTACGATCGCCGGCCATCCCCGTCCAGTCTGTCCGACCGAAAACACCGCCTCCGCCGATCGATTAGCATAATTGCAGAGAGTTTTTTTGGTCGTTTCTTTGTATTTATTCTTTTTCATTGTTTACATACCATTCGGCTTAGAATGCTGCAAAGAATAGCATTAAGGGAAACGATAGTCTGGAAGCCGTTTTTTAAGGAAACGTGCACCTGTCATGAGAAGATCAGTTGATGTTTTGAGTGACGGGGCGACCGGTTCACCTGGTGTTTCGTTCTTTTCCGATTCAACGCGAACACAGTATTTTGCCCACGTTCGTCCATCAGTCGTCACTCACTGTCGTCCCCTCACGTTTTCGCAGTCAGGAAATGTCCAATTCTATGAATTCTATCGAGTTACAGAAAAGAATGTCGAATCCCGTCAGAGAAGGCTATCGAGAATTCGACAATGAAGGGGACACACACTCGGTGGCGCAGGTTAATTTTTACTTTTTTCCATTTTGTGGTCACATTGCGGTTTTATGTGTGGTATTTTTCGAAATGAATTCCATTGTTTCTCACTTTTCCCACTTTTTAAGGATACCAAACAATAATAAAAATAGAAACTGCTTGTCTACCATTTTCAATTTTTACCTACCCATCATCCTGACGCAGTAGCAAAGTTTATTTGAAAGATTTTAGTGCAAGTACATTTGTAGCCCAGTAAGCAGTAAGATGCGAAGAGCTCTTACTTGTTAGAGCTGATAAATCACGAATTATATGAAAAATGAACAGCTCCTGTTGCGTTCAAGCGATAATAGTCGTCTTTTTACATTTTCTGTTCTTGCTGCCCGATCGCTCTATATTCATTGCGAAATTTACGATCGAAGCAAAAACTAATGGCGAACAAGCTCATCGTTAATGAATGTGTGGTTGTTCAATTGTGTTCTGGAACTTTTCCTTTGATGAATCACAGTATCGATAATTTCGATATTCGATAGAAATGAAAAATGCTCTCAAACTTGTCTATCTTGACGTTTGAGATGTGAGCAGAAAATCAGGAAAAGAAGCTTTAAATTTGAAATTTCTATTGATATTGATCAACTGGTCGAGAAGACTCGTTAGTCGCGAGGTAGGGTAATTATGAGAACGTCGCTTTTTCCATGCTATAGTTCTTCTGCTAGCGCCAAATATGTAAAATAAAAAAGATGAATTTGATCATGGCTGTCTTACTTATCATGTTTTAAGGGATTATGCAAAAAATGTAGCATTAAATTGCTTATTTTATACGAGTTTTCCGGTTGTACTCATTATTTGAAGCTTCTATCCAAATGCTAATCTTTTTGGTCTGATTTAGACTCCTCTGCCAAGACCCGTGGAGGACACTTCATTGTTCCATGAACGTGCTGCATCTCAGAATACCATCACTTCCGAACAAGCTTTTGTACACATGGTAAAAGCCATGCTTGGGACAGGCCTTCTCTCATTACCGTTGGCATTCAAACATGCTGGACTTTTTGTGAGTTTGCTGATCTAATACCATTCCTAGCAATCCTTTTTAATTTGAAATTGATTTTTCCTTTTTTTAAGTTTCCCTTTCTGGAAAACGGCTACTCTGCTGTTTACAACAGAACTTTCTTTTTTTCGCGGCGTCTTATAATCTTTGGCATAGAACGTTACGTTAACCTGGTTCCGTTTCTTTCTAGTCGACCAATGCATCGAATTCCGCACTATTGGGAGAAAGTTACCACACCCTGTGGCTGGATGTGTATTTAAAACAGTCGGAAATTTTCCCTAATGATCGGGTGTGGTTTTTGATGAAGGAAACCTCTTCTTCTATGTCTTTGAATTCTCAGATTTTTTGAGCGTGCAGGAAGGTAGTCAGCATCTTTAACGAATCGGCAGTGAAGAATATTTCAGCTGGGTCTTTTCCTCACGATACTAATTTGTCTCGTTTGTCTCTACTGCATGCGGCAAGTTGTGTTCGCCGCTCATTTCGTCTGTAATCGGTACGTTTCTTGTGGTCTTCCTTATAATAGCATCTGACATCTGAATGGCTTCTATTGTTCCTTATGTTATAGAAATGGCCGCGATTTGATTGATTATGCTAATATCTTGCGAGGTGCTGTAGAGATGGGTCCAAACTGGATTCGACACAAGGGATATTTTTTCAAGTACGTCATTTGCTAGAGGTTTTAACATTCAGTACTTGATACTATTCTTTTTTCAGGCAGCTGCTCAATGTGAACATGTTCGTTTCCCAGTTAGGCTTTTGCTGTGTTTATTTCGTATTCATGGCCGATAATTTGGAAGATGTGAGATCTGGATGATTTGCAGTATTCTTTGTTTCATAATCTATCCGGTAAAATTCTTTCTTCCAGTTTTTCAATGCCAATACATCAATCAAGCTCTCAAAAGCCGTCTGGATGCTCCTGCTTTTGATCCCGATGTTATCTATTTTGTTTCCCAGTTAGGCTTTTGCTGTGTTTATTTCGTATTCATGGCCGATAATTTGGAAGATGTGAGATCTGGATGATTTGCAGTATTCTTTGTTTCATAATCTATCCGGTAAAATTCTTTCTTCCAGTTTTTCAATGCCAATACATCAATCAAGCTCTCAAAAGCCGTCTGGATGCTCCTGCTTTTGATCCCGATGTTATCTATTTGTTCTATAAGAAGGTAATTTTGATTTCCCAATTAGTTGGGCTGAAGGCGTCACACAGCGTGAGCTGGACCTGTTTTGAATATTTTGAGCTTGGTTTTTACAATACTTTTTCTTCCCTTATTTACAGCTAGAATTTTAGACTCTCTGTGCTGGCTCCACTTGCTATGGCTGCTAACTTTGTGTACATAGTCGCCGTAGGAATTGTTCTTTTCTTCTTTATCTCTGGTAACTGTTTTGATCGGAGCTAGGCTGACTCAACTATACTGTACATATAGACGAACTGTTATAGACCTCCGACCCGTTAACTCATTGCCTTGGTTTGGAAAAGCAGCTGATCTACCTCTTTTCTTCGGTACTGTGATGTTTGCGTTCGAAGGAGTTGCTGTGGTACACCTTTCCTTTCATTTTTGCAACTTTGTGACCATTGTGGTCATAGAAAAGTGCAAAATATATTATGCAGATAATGCCCATCGAAAATCGTATGCGGAATCCGCAATCGTTTATCGCTTGGAATGGCGTTCTGAATTCAAGCTGTCTGGTTGTCTTGGCTATTTTCTCAGTCACAGGATTTTATGGGTAATTTCTTTTCTATCCTTTTTTTATTCATAGCAATGGCGTTATTTATTGCTAAGCGAATGTAGGGCCACTTTTTTCATTTAAAGCATTGTAGAACGAGTTTTAGATTTTGCTTTGTTTTCAAAGATTAGTTTTATAAAAAGGAGTGGAGTGGGGGTACCGACAGCTCTTTCCCGTTCTATTTTTGACAATTCGATACAATTTCTATTTTAGGTACCTCTCATTAGGTGATGAGGTGAAGGATACAGCTACGCTGAATCTCCCAATGACACCGTGAGCTTTTTTTGCCTCGCTACCTTACCAAGTCTATTATTTGTGGTGCATCTGCATTTTTTAGGTTCTATCAAACCATCAAGTTGATGTTCGTTGCATGCATCATGATTTCGTACCCGCTGCAATTCTATGTTCCAATGGAGCGCGTTGAAAAATGGATCACACGGAAAATTCCAGTCGCTAACCAAACCTTCTATATTTACACCGTTCGATATTCGGGTGTTCTTCTCACATGTGAGTCTTTTTTTTCGAATTCTTAGGTACCTATCTGGTCCTCTATTTTTGTTGTTCAGGTGCTGTTGCTGAACTCATACCACATCTAGCGCTTTTCATCTCGTTGATCGGAGCGTTTTCTGGTGCATCGATGGCCCTGCTGTTCCCTCCCATTATTGAGCTACTGGTAACTCTTTAGTTCGATTTTTATCTTTACTACTTCTATTTCCCTTATTTTGACAATTTAGACATGCTATGCTAAGCAAGAGCTCTCGGCCAGAATCTGGGCCAAGAACATATTTCTTCTCAGTTTTGCCTTTCTGGGTTTCACCACGGGTACGTATTCGGCTTTGTCGGCAATCTTCCAGAAGATTGCCAGTCAATAAGATGCATGTTTTGCTATTTTTGTTGATTTTACATATTTATGGTTTGTTTTACTGCGAACTTTATTGTGTGTTAGATGTTCTAATTGGTTCTTAGAATCAACGTTTTATATTTTGACTATGCAGTAATCACACTCATATCCTTGATCTGGCGCTACGAGCATTCATGTGATTATTTGACACGTTTCTATTTCTTGTAAATAATGTTCTCGAGCTTCTCACGCAATATCGATGTGATCTGTGATGTCATAGAAAGCGTATCCTAAAACCAATCGTTGGCCTTTCGTTAGTATGAATAACGTCTGTGGTTATTTATGGGTCTGCAAGTGTGTATCGTAATATACGGATATGTAATAAAGTAATTTATCGAAGATTATTTGCTTCCTCGCTATTTGATTCTAAGGCGCAATGCAACCAATGGTTTCGCTAAAAAAATTAGTTTTTTTTTGTAACTGACGGTTATGTACTCCCCGCGTAAAATCGGCTGGTACCTATTACTGATGCGATATGAATACTTTTCAGAGCAGGGATGCACGTCTGCAATGTTCTGAAAGGGAAATTTGGAGGCGTGAGAGTTCAAAGGGTGGTTTTGGTCCTGATTAGTTTAGACAGGTTTGCATTTTATGGTAATCGAACAGTGGTTTACTTGTTTGCTTATTTACTTTGGTTGATGTCTGTCAACATCACCAGGGTGCGCCTTGCCTTCGATCTATGAGAAGATCTGTGGAGGCATTTGAACTTGTTCGTCTCTAGTCTTCCCAATAGTAGCGTGCTAAGGCCGCGCAATGCTCAGTTGTGTTCCAAGGTACCATTGCTGTGCTTAAAGATTTGTAAAAGGTCTAGTTGTAATTGACGATTTTTTAGCTGTCAATACATATCATGTAAATATCAAGTTGAACACTTAAAATCATGTGGAAACTCTTTCTGTCCAATTTGAACGACTTTCAAGCCGCTTAGGATTTTTTTAAGAATCAAGTAGATCTACTTTTATTAGATTCTGCTTCAAAAAAGGACGAATGTCAAACATTATATTTGGCACACTTAAAAAGTATGTCTTCTCGATCCTGTAATTATCACCACCATATCTCTGGGCGGTACTTGCTGGTCAGCATCGCCCCGCGTTTTGACTTCTCCTGTAAACTGACACATGTAGAAACATCTTAATAATCTTTATTAGTTTAATAAAACCCATCCACGATTTACTATGAAGATATTAATGTTTGGCATGTAATTTTGTATGAAGGTGGAAACATGAAACCGAGTCCATTTGCCACATGTCACATTTTGCGGGGCACTGAGAATAAAACACGCTTCATTTGTTTAGCAGCGTTAAGGAATTACATGACAGATCACAGATTAATTATTAAATAAGCGAATCAAGTCAATGGTGGCGTTCCACCCCTTCTAATGAAATCAAGTCATGGTCATAAGAAACATTAGTATATCACTACTCACTACGAATAAACGGTCTAGTCGTTTATTTACGAGCAATAAGACCGAATTGTTTCGGTCGAAGTAATGTGTCCACAACGGCGCTCTCAAGATCTTCCAGATCCGCCATCACATCGGCAAGGTCGCTGAAATAGGAAGCTTGAGCGTGACTTCAGCATAGGTCTGAGTGGTTACCGTACCTTTCCTTCTTGCCAGGTGCTGTCTTCAATTCGATGTAGTACTTGATCTTCGGTTCAGTACCGGATGCACGCAGAGTGGCGACACTTCCATTTTCCAAATTGAATGTGATCATTTCGGCAGACGTCGACAGTGGTAGTACCTGTTAATGTGTGGACTTAAAGACACACTACGGTATTATGAAGGTGTGAACCTCTGCGATAGAAAATAAAGATAGACAAGGTTGGGAGCCAGCAGCGAAAAGAGCTAACGAAACTGCTGAGAATTTCAAAAGGTGGATTGCTTGTTGATCATATGGGTGGGAATCGATGCAACCACCGCGCTCTAGTCATTGCTCCGCTTCTTCTTTTTAGCGTGATGAAGCAGGGATCGTACCATGAGAAGCTCGCAGAAGACTACACTGATACTGCCCAATGTGGCTTTTAAGGTTTTGAGCAGTTTTTTGCTCTTTTCATAACTAGTCAACCAAATATCACATACTTTTACTTCTGGACGCAATAGCCTACACACGCCAGTCCTCAGGAGAAGCCTCCAAGGTTTAATAGAGAGAGTCTGAACAACTTACGGGCTTATTTCCCGGTTGCGAGTTGTCGTATCCGATTGTAAGGTCCCTTACGGTCTTCACCTTGTGTGGTCCAATCTTGTCGGGGAACTGAAATAAGATATCTTTCCTTGTATTTATCAAAAAAAAACTCACATTCAGAGAAAAAACACTTTGAGTCGGCTCTGATTAAAAATTATTGCAATCTAGTCCACTGTTGAAAGTGAACTCCAACATTGGGGAGAAAATCTACAGTGAATGGATCTTGGCTGTTCCCCTTTCCTTTCTTATGCGAAGGGTGAGAATGCTCAGCGTTTATCAACCCATTTTTGAGATTTAATTCCGTCCAACACAGCAGCGCTATTTTAGCGCATATTTGACCAATGCATTGGAATAGTTGTAGGAATAGGGAGGGTGGGTAGTAAAGTTAGGCGGTGGAGGGCGGATGATCGAAAGTAGTGTCTTCACCCTTACCAACTTCTCTGGTACCGGTCAACCAACACTTCATAAATAGAAGAATCCAATGACCGGAAGTCAATTTAGCGCGGAATTTGATCCATGGACTGAACGTGAGCTAACGATAAGAGCGCACTTATCGCTGCCCCATCGCCCGACATCCATAAGATTAGCATACCATTGG